CTTAAAGGCAAACTCAAATTTAGAATAGTTTAATAATGTGACCAAGCTTGGGCTATATAGATCCATTAAATACTCAAATGATTCTAATGTGCAAAGATTAGATATGCTCATTAGTTAGGTAAAGACTTAATTATGAATGTAGCAGAAGAGACAGCGGCTGACAGTTTATTTAATATCAGAGCCATATCAAATTAGCAGTCCACATTCACCATAAAGAGATGAAGATTTTTTTACAAGAATACATATAGATGTATAGCCATGCTGCCTTCAAAATAGAATATTCTGCAGAAAAGTTGGGTTTCGAGGAATCTATTCTTTCATAATTGTTGAGCTTACTTGCATTTCGAGTGAAAGGGTTTGATGAAGTGATTCGAAGGTCAATTCCACCAGAAGACGACGGCGGATACCTCTTGACCTTTTGTTGATTGGTTTTACTGAAAAATATATGCTGACGCTGTTTTTAAGATAATCTCCTTGGATTCTGGTGAAAAGATGCTAAGCTTTCGTCCATCATATGACGAGCATCATCAGAGCAAGTTATCATCGTCACAACCAAATTCAGGCTAACAAGTCATAAAAAATCATCAGCAAATCCCTAAAAAACTGTATATATGCTCTATATATGGCCTCTTTGATCAGGTATAAAGTGATGTGATTAGTTACGGTCATATGTCAACCCTGAAGTCAGTGAGTATGTCTGTCTCTCTATGTACATATGCCTGTTTGTTTCGCTTATGCACGAAACCAGTAGAGATGGCTAAAAGTAATTAGAACAGCAAAAGTAACGTCTGGTCTAGGCCATCAAAGTTTGATGACCGCTATCGCCTCCTTTCTAAATCACTCCGATTGCGCAAGATCAGACAAATTTCTGGTTTTGTTGATTAGCCTAATTTTTGATTTTGGTCTTAATGCAAGAGCGAATGAGTGAGTTAAAAGTACAAAGAACCAAGACAAGAAAAGACTAGTTGAGTCGTCTCGTTTTTGCAGGCGGCTCAGCACCCTCTATTCTTGAATCTATTAATGAATCTCAAGTAATTTTTATTTATCTTCTTGCCGGTATTCCTTGCATTTAATGTATTTCCTATTCGGTTTATTTCGATGGTTTCTCAAATTTTCCATTTAGCCACAGACATGCCATAATCAGTATAACCAGAAGTTTTAAACCATTCAATATCGCGTCTCATTTCTGCCCTGTGCTCAGCCAGCTCCGATTTTTAAACCCAACAGCCTTTGCAGGCACTTTTGTGCCCAGCCATCTTTTGTCGAATGGGACAAGTCTCTTCAACATAAAAGCGACCATATAAACATAGAGATAGACACACTTACGGGTTTTAGGGTTGGCATATGACGGTAAATAACCAAATTACTTAAAACCTCATTAGAGGCCAGATATAGCGTATATAAATAGCTTTTAAAGATTTTCGGGTAAGTTTTCTTTACTCTTTAGCTTGAATTTGGTTGTGACGATGATACCTTGCTCTGATGATGTTTGTGATATGACGGGCGAAAGCTTAGCAACTTTTCACCATAATCGAAGGAGATTACCTCGGAAACAGGGTTACCAAGAATGTTCCAGTAAAGCCAATCGACAGCTGGTCAAAAATGGAATCCGATTTCGTCTTCTGGTGGAATCGACCTTCGAATCTCTTCACCAAAGACTTTTACTCTAAATAGAATTAAACTCAATAATATTTTGAGTAAACCATAAAAATATCATCCTTAGATTTC